TATTTATCCACAAAAAGCCTCTTTGGAGGGGTGTCAAAGGAGTTCTGTCAACTTTTTAAATATGCCTTATATAAATGACTGCACTTATCTTTCACAATAACTTGTTTTAAAAATGGATCATGACTGAAAGGATGAACATTACACTATCATAGGTTGGCTGTTAAGTGTTTTTACATCATGAATCCGACCTTTCTCATATAAATAATGAAGCTGTTTGTTTAGAAATGTAGGCTTCAGTTGATATGTGATAATTTGGAAAACCTATCCTTCAGTGCAATCTATATTATAAGGTAATCAAGTAGCTGTGAAGGATAAGTGTATGAGTTTATAAAAATGTCTTTATGTCTGTCTTTCTTTATTTGCAGTTCAGTGGCATTTTCTTCTACTTTCTTTTTTAAAATGAAGCACACACTTTGTTACAGAGATACAGTCAAAGCAAATCTCATCCTCTCATACGTTTACATTTTATTAACAAACATCATAGAGGAAAGAACAATTTATGTCATGCTAAAATAATATATCCAATAATTGATATTGTTTCTAATATACTATGGATGTTATTTGAAGAAAACAATATGTTTGACCTGCAATCAATGCTTATTTCCAAATCATAACATGAGCTTTATTAATAGAATACCACTTTCGCATTGTGTGCATGTTGACATTGTTACATGGGAAGAAAAGTTTAAAATGGCTCAGTGTCTGGGCATATGGATCCATATTTGCAAAGCTGAATGTAAAGAAAACTATAGGAACAGGAAGTACACTGAACAACATATCAGACATTTCAAATGTAAAACTGCAGCAAACAATGTGTGACAGTGGTTATTTTAATCGCTTGCCATCTCTGGTCATACTTGTACAACTGTGCAGTCAGTGATCAAGGCTTTGCCACACCATCTGGATCGATGTTTTTTAACCAAACTTTAAAAAAAACCTTTTGTTTTGACTGTATCATTAGGACCTCTGTGGTACCCGCTGGTGCTTTGTAAAGAATGTTGGCATTTTATTTAGTGTAAACATTTTAATTTCACCTCTCTCATTTAATGGCTTTGTGTGAGAGTCACTATTAACAGTTACAGTGAACGGTAGCGACGCTCATGTCCTCCAATAATTGTGCAATGTCTGATTCTCCTGTGGCTACTTTATATTTTCTAATAAGACAACTTGCCTAGCTCCTATAACAACAATAACAACCTATAATTATTATATTTAATTTGTCATTATTTGGCATAAACAGATGATAAGCAAAGCCATCCATGTCAGCAGTAAGATCTTTTTTTCCGCTGCATTCTGCAGTCTTTTTATTAACATGTGATCAGAGATATATAAACATTATCAACTGTTGTCGTTTTTGTTTGTCATGATTATTATATTTGTATGTCATGACCCACCTCTAGCTGGACAGTTTAAAAGTTTATTTCCCTCAAGTTGAGAAGCAAACGTTGTGTTTTGAAGTCCTCCGATTCCTTTATTGTGTGACTGTTGCTCGCCATGCTTCTACATTGTGACTATATCAACATCCACCACAAAGTGCTTTTCCCAGTTTTCCTTCATGCGACAAATCATAAAAAGAGTTGCCAAATGCATGAATGCCTTGAACTCTGACATTTTGGAAGAAGCAGTGACTCTACATTCTAACATGCATGACATTGGAGACCAAGTGGTACATTACTTTGCAACAAATCGACATCATAGCAACTTCTCAACCTCTCAGCTTCATGTGAAATACATTCCATTCCTGAGTGACATCCCTTTATGTCACAGACAGTGTAGATGTAAGCTTAATATGTGCGTTAGCCGCTTCATTTAGCCAGACATCTCATGTGAAGTCTCGGGAGGGGATTTTTAGACAGAAAATCTAAAACTGACTAAAGGAATCTCACTCATTGAAGTTCAGAAATGGTCCTGCAGTCAGTCTTACGCACACGATGGTTGGGATTTGATAGCATCACTGGCGGCAGTGGTAGCATGTTTGGCTGTTTGCTGAAGTTCAGTGCTTCGCTGGACTTGAACGGCACTTGTGAGGGATGAAACTAGAACCTCTCATTGGCTGGAGAAGAAACAATAAAATTGTAGTTAACTATTGAAGTGCTCTGGTGTTTTTCTTTTTTGTCTTGCTGTGACTTTTTCTGACCTCTGAGAGAGTACTCAACAATGCGAGTTTACTGTAAACCTAAGTGGGAGTGCAGAACACAAACTGACTGTGTTAGTCTAAGGGCACTTTAAGCTGAGTTCTGGTGTGCGTCAGGTTCACAGTCTATGGTGGAAGAAGAACTCAGATTCTTTACTTAAGTAAAAGCATCAATACAACAATGTTTAAATACTCTATTACATTATAAATCTACATAATCATCAGCAAAATGTGGTTTAGTATAATAATTAGAAGTACTCGTTATGCAGAATGGCTCCTTACAAAGGAAGATATACCAGCCAAATAGATTTTTTTACAAGGCAAGCCAAATGACTAATCTATGAAGTCTTAAGTCTTAATAAATCATTACAAGTTGCAAACGCATTATAAAGTATTATTAGAAAGTGGTACATGGTACTTTAATGTTGTAAGTAGTTGAGCTACTTTCTTAAAAATTGTTGGGAAGTTTGTTCTTTGAAATCTATAATATTTTCTACGCTTATTTTATATGTAAAATATGACTGCAAAATAACCAGTAACTTAAGCTGTCAGATAAATGTAGTGGAGTAAAAAGTTCAATATTTGTACAATAAGAATATTAATATGTAAGTAAATGTACATCCAGAGTCCAAGACTAAAATGGAGTTTCAGTCACTGTTCAGAGGTAAAAGTGTAAGATGTCTCAAATATGACTCCGACTCTCAAAGTGAGAGGAGATATTAATGGGTAAAACAGTGGGAAACAAATATAAAAAGGAATAGTTCTGAAAGTTTGAACATAAAATTGTTTTTATTACTATAATGTCTAATGTATAATAAATTCAACCTAAGTTTTACCTTTGCTATGATAAGCCTCTGTAGAACAACTTTATAAATGGAAAAACCCTCCACCACAAGGTCCATTAAGTAGCTGTTCTGGAGCTTTCAATCATATCACATGATCAGCAGATGGAGTTTGCCCAGATGTCATGGACATTGTAGATGTTAAATTTTCTTATTTTTTCTGGGGGATTTGAGAACTTACACATAGCACAACACATCATCTTTACCATATTAATTGCACTAAAAAAGATTTGTATGGAACCACAGATTCAAAGCTGTAGCTGCATCTCCCATGTAAAGAGAAATAAGAACAAATGACTCAAAATGTCAAGAAAAAGTCCCAGTTAAAAGTTTCGGTTCACAGTAAGTCAGCCTGAGGTCACTGGTGAATGAATCATTGAGTCTGGGTGGATTGCCAGTCTGAAATACCAATGTTATTACAAGATTGGAAGTCCATCCAAAGCAATGCAGACAACCCAGTGGAATATTTCCAGTTCAGCATGTCCAGTGTTTCTGTTTAAAAACACACACACAAAGCAAATGTGTCAAAAGTTGTAAGAAGCGCTCTCAAATTCAGACACATCCTTCACTGGGGTCGGACAACCGAGGCTCTCAGGTGCTTTTCACTCTGCTCTTAGATGTGCTGGCAGACGTGAGGTGGATTTAAATACAAATTCAACAAAAATGAAGCTTTGTTGGAAAAAAAAAAAGTTACCACTTGTGTCTTTAGTTATTACTGACTTGGGATTCAAGGATCTATACAGAAATGTAACTTTAGACTAGTTATGTGTAAAATATTCATACCAGTATCTCAGCTCTCACATACGAACTAAGAGAAACTAGAGCATCATTTATGATTTATAAGTACCTTCCACTATCAACTCAAGCATTTGCAAAAGTTCTCAGTTTATGTGCAGCCCCGCTCTCCCCAACCATGTCTGTCTGCAGGAGAAAGCTATTCTTTTCCAGTATGAAAAATATCAGACATGGCGTTTCAATCTGTCCTCCATTGCAGATAAGGCCACCTTTGTCAATGTCTAGTTTTTCAAGCAGAAACAGCTGTTGGAGTCTCCTATCAGGTATCCAGCAGATGAAAAGTTGATTGATATCACTTCTCTTCATGGATGAGGTCTGACAAAATGAATCAGATTTTTAGATTGTTATTGAGCTAAAGTTTCATCTCTCCGTTTCAATTGAGGCTCTTAATGGTTAATGGAAATCAGCTCACAGAGAGAACAAAAGAGAGAGATAACTTTTTTTTTTTCAGTGGCTTATCAGTCCAAGCACATGGCCTGTGCAATATCCCAGGTGGCTGTGTAACACTTTCCCCAAAACACACTCACAATGAGTTACCCAGGCTGCTGCTCGGTTCAGTCTGACTGCTCTTCCAGATCACATCCACCAGACTTTAAACTCATTCAGCTCTAGAAATATTGGTATTTGCTGACAATTTATTGAAAAAGATTTAATTTAATATCACATTATAAAATAATACAAGAGCTGCTATTTCATTTAGAGTGTTGGGGAGGGGGTACCATCCCAGGACAGATTGTGCTATTGTCTTTGTAAATCTACACCTGTTCTTTGACAGCTCAGACAACACAAAACATAGTTTAAAGTGGTGCACAGCAGACTAGAACCAGACTGCTTCACTGGGAGACCTGAAACGTGAGATGCCTGCAATATGTCATGCTGTGTCAGGCAGTAAAACTGGCCCGGACGCATGCAGGAAAGCTTTATAAGTGAAGGTCTCCCTGCAGATATTGTGTTTCAAGCCAGGGTGTAGCCACTGAATGACCATCAGCCCCTTGAGACAAGTTTCACTGACATGTCATCACTGCAGAACCTGTACCAGAGGTAGACTAAATTAATTTCATAGCTAAGAGGAGGAACAATGAAACCCCAATGGCAATGCCAATTACGATGTGGACTGTTAAAACTCTTGAATTGAGTCATTTCCATCTCAATTTGAGGGGTCTGTTGGCATTTAAAAGTATGTGAAACAATGGGCGGCCTCTGCTGGTGAGGATTTATAACGCCTCAAGTTCACAGCACCTATCACAGCTGCACAAAAGTAAATTAACCTGCACTGAAAAGCTACTGGATTATAAAGAAAGATACATCATTTATTTGAAGTCTAATACATTATGTCGGTCATGTGAACAGCAGGAAAAACAAAATGAACCCGACCAGACAGAGCAAAAGAGAGTCAGCAGGCTGAAGTTTTCTGCTCGGACAGATTTCACTCCACGGAACAACGTCTCATTTCAGGTCGTGCGAGAAGTGGCGCAGCCCCTCAGCTCAGGGTGAGCTGCGCAGACCGTCAAACTTTTTGTGTTCAGACTTGTAAAATAACTTTGCTTTAACTCATAGTGCTGCACAGGAAAAGTTGCAAACTATGCGCGCTGATTGCCCAACTCCGTGCGGTGAAAAGGATCCAATCTGCCAAGTGTCAAACCCAAGCGAGATGGAGTCGCAAACAAAGCCGGAGACGGATCACTGCGGTGCAGGGGTTTGCCAGAGAGGATGCGGGCTTCTGCTGTCTCGTGAGGACGTCAGTAAAGGGGAACACTGTTGCCTGGACGCGCTCCGCACGGTCACCGATGCACTGGAGGAAAGAAGCGCAACTCTGGAGCATGAAACCCGGATGGCGAGGCTCAGGTGGAACAGGAGGGAGCAACGCCTGTTAGCCCAGGTGTCAACTCTGCAGAACGAGGCCCAGCTTGCTGCCCTCAAGTACCAACGGAGACTGCACCAATACATGCTGCACATCCACAGCATTGCAGAGCAGGTCACTGGGTACTATAAGGTGAGAGGGGTGATTTATTTGATGTGTGCATGTGGTGCAACAGCTGCAATGAGCATGGAAGAGTGTGGCTTATGATGTCACTTTGAGTCAAGATGTCATATAAGGCAAAACAAAACTGATAAATTTCACACACTTTGGTGTTTGTTGGTTGAATTAGAGTGATTTGAGGACAACTGCCGACATGCAGAGCCAGATATCAGAAAAAGCAACATGTGCCGAAGGGCTGCCACAGGAGCTGCTGGAAGGACCTGAGGTAGGAGAAGCACAGTCACTGCTCACAGCTTTACGTATCTGTGTCTAAAACTGACATTTTCGGCTTATTCATAAACGTTTTAGACCATAAGCTTGGGTGTTCTTACCCAAAATCGCCCAGAGGCAGTAGTGCACATGCGTTGTGATTTTCTTTTCTGTCAGTATCACTGTTAGTTCCCACTAAGACACTTCCCAAAGCTGTTGATACTAGGATTTGGGTGAGTGTTTTAAAAGCACTGCAGCCTCTTGTGCATCAGGGTTTTGCTGCATCCCACTGTGTTTCACCTGCTGCCTCAGCTCAGGCTTAACCCTGCTGCCAGACTATTCTTTGTGTAAATGTTGACTTTGGGATCACAGTGAATGCTATGGAGTAGTAGCAATCTCTGAGTGAAGACACTTTATATAGAGGGTAATTCTCCTTACTCCCTGTTGTTTGTGTGGCGAGGTCTCTTTTACTCACAGTGAAAGTGTGTGTTTATTGGCAAAGGAATTTGTTTTATAAATACCAAGCCAAATGTGATATTAGCCAATATATAGTTGTAGTCATGTATTTGCCAGCAGTACGAGTTCACCTCAGTGCCATGATTAGAGTTTTATCACAGCTTTTGACTTCTATGGAGGAATCTGTTCTTGTCCTACGATTTCAACTTGTTTTGTCCATCTTGTGTGGCTTGAGAAATGTGGTCTTTGTCCTCATCTTTGGGTCTCAGCTGACCTAATGTCTGGATAGTGTCCTACCATTTGGTAAAGTTTGGGGTCAGAACACCTTATCATATTTCACCTAGAATCACTGCATCATAACAAAGTCAAGCATTGCAAAGAAAAAAAGGAAATTTGAAAGCCTACTGCCACATAAAAAATGTCTAAAAATTAGATGACATTTTCATTGATGTTGCACTCTATATTAAATTATGGAAATATAGTGTTTCTATATTAACAGCATGAGTGGGCATCTTCTAGAGGTGCTCTTTGCAATGCCATGAGCCCTTTATGGACATTTTGTGCAAGATTGCTGTAGCCATGCTTGAAAATAAAAATACCAGAGAACAAAATACTCTCAGTTTTGGTGTTAACAGCTTGGATTAAATGTTAATTATTGCCCGTTTGCTTCTGTACTTTTGCATAATGTGGGCATAATGGGATAAACTATATGGACACGGTTTCTAACTGCTCCTGAGTTGTTGGCAGTGAATAATTTAATAAACCTCACCATGTAGCTGCCAAATCTAAGAATAGCCCTTGTTTTTGGACTCTCGCATGGTCTACAGGTTTACTAACCCTCAAGCCAGAGACACTGTATTGTGTTTGGGCTGCTGCTGAGGCTGGGTGGGTTTAATGGTGGTAATGGTCACATAAAGTATCTCTCTAATTGCCTACAGCATGCTGTGAATGCAACAGACTCACTTTTGATTAATGTGGAAAACTGTTCACTCTCCTCTGCCAGTGCTGGGCAGCAGTGCAGCATCTATTTTCAGCTCTTTTTTTTTTCCACTTCTAAAAACTCTACACTAATGCGTCTTTAATAGTTTTCTCACTGTGTGTTTTCCAAATGGATTTTCCAATATTTGACAGAGCTGGCTTGCAGTTCATCAAACAAAGTTTTACAGTTTAGTGGAAATCCACTTTGTTAGAAAAGTCATGGGATTTCTGTCCGCATGGACAATAGAGTTGGATTACTAGTAAACATCCCAGTAGCATTTATGGATCGTCACATTAAGGGTCCCTTTGTGTGGTTGGAAAGCAAGCCTAATTGACCCTTTGCTAAGCCCCTTTATTTACTGCTACGCCTGTTAGGTTTTCCTTTCTAGCAAGGCACACATGCTAGAATGGAAATGTAATTTTTAAAGACAATTGTAGACACAGTCAGACAAAAGCAGGCTTTACATTACTAGCCGGTGACAATCCATTTTGACAGCTAAAATCACAGCTAACACTAGCAGATTTCAGCTCTAGCTTGCTAGCTAGCCAAGAAACATTTACCTAAAAACTTAAATCGTTTTAAATGACTACATACATGTTATAATGCAGAAAGACTGAGGATAAAGTTACATGTCCCGGGCAAAAAGTCAGCAGCCTCATAAACTATGAAGAAGAAGATGTGGAAATAGAGATGTGGCATTGTTCTTGTATTACAGTCTGGCTAATTAGCCCTCCTATTTCAGTTCACCATTTTGTAACATAACTCTGTTTTGAAAGCTTACTATAATAAAAAAACAACAACAAGCAATTGGTGTACTTAATTTTTTTCCAAAATAGAATGTTTCACTTTTAGGCTTTGCGGATGTAAAATGCAAATGTAATGCTAACTCTGCAAATGAGTTTGGCTGGGCTTGCTGAATAAACAGCAGGCCAGGGCTGCGACCGTTACCGTAAACTCTGATAAACTCTGTCTGAAATACATCACCCTCCAAACTCTTTAATTGCGGTGTATTGGTTTCACTGCAGCCTTATGATGACCACTTCAGTGTGTGTAGAAATCCAAAGCTTGACAAGCAAGTTACAGTTGCTAAGCTATAATTGGACAAGCACTGTTCAGGGGACCGGTTTAGCGAAGTGTGAATTGCCGCGTAGGTCGGCTTAATTAATTGACACCTTGCCTACTGGTTTAACACTTTTGAGAATATTGTCCCAGTAGTTTGTGGACAATGACATTGTTGTTTAAAACAAACAAAGAAGCCTTTGAGTCTGATGTTGAAGCTGTTCCATTTCCACAGATGCCAGTTGTTCTTTCTTGTCAATGATACTGATGGGTGCTGTAGAAAACAGCCTGCTGAGAGCTTGTTCAGTATTGTGTGTAAAAAGAGAGAAATACAGAAAAGAACAGAGACAGCAAACTACTGGGAGTGACGTTAAGACTGCGAGTCATACCATATTTTTCCATGTACCTCAGAGATGTAGTGATCTAGATCCAGCTGATTGTCTGTTCACTGGCCTGACTGAATGCAGTCGTTGGCTGTGTGGGTGAGTCAGACAGTTCTGCTATGTTGAAAAGGAATAATGGGACGAAGAACAGCAGTGAAACGGCAACAGGATCACCATTGCAAAAACATACCGTCGTTTTCAGTTGCCCACGTAATTTGCTCGTATGTTTGTTTAAAACCAGATGAATATACAAATGAAACCTCAGTTGCGGTAAAACAGTCCCACTCCTTCTGTCTGCAGCCAAGATCCCCCAAATCCACACTTGAACTTGGAGTCAGGTTAAAAGGTCCAAAAGTTTGGAAACTAAAGAAATATTTTCAAGTCATTCAGAATGGATAGTTCTTTTCGTCACCCATTACCAAAACTGTTGTGTCCACTGCACAGGAGAGTAAAAATCTATTTTGTTGACCCAGACAGTGCCTGTGACACTTCACCAAAGGGTTTATTGACAGAAACAATGCGGCCTTTTCACCTGTCTGAGAGTGAGAGTACAGTAGCTCCATCTAATTCTCTTTTTGCACAGATCAAGAGAAAAGATAGGGGGAGGGGAGGAGTGGAAAGGAGAGAGTGGAGAGTACACAACTCGAGTATCGGTCTCATCAAAATCCAATCTTCCGTGACAGGCAGGGACGAAAGCAGGCCACTTTGTTTGCTTCAATAAGAAGAAAAGATTGCTTTGCGACAAGAGAAAAGATGTAGGACCTCTGCTTTTATGCCAGTTGATTTGATTTTTGCTGCCCAGACTGATCCCTAAAAATAAATGATAAACACTCGGTTTTATTTTTCTCATTGAAGTTAGACGTTGGCCTGATTTGAATAAAAAACAAAACAGATTTAACTACCTGAGAAATATGGAAAAACATTTTTATATGTTGCTGCAAACAAAGGCAGATGTCTAATGGTCAAATCAGTTCGGCACCCAGTTGCACACACCTTTTTACTGCTTGTCTAGACAGCTTTATAGCCTCTTTGTACTTTGTAATTCTCCAGAGCACTTTGTTGCAAATGGAAGAGAATGCCTATATACTGAGAAAATTGTATAAAGTCAGCTTACAGTTTGCTGTCTGTAAAGAAAGACTGAGAAAATGGGATGGGTAGATATGGAAATTGAGACAATCAGTCTCTTTCAACTTCCTGCTTGTCAGAGTGTAAATATGGGGTTGTCATGGTCTGTGTGCTTTAGCTCTCTGGAGGTGTTTTCTGTACCTGTTCTGCTCTGTTTGGGACGTCAGTTGCCCAGAATTTACATGGCAGCTGTTTATCCTTCGCCTTCGAGAGAGGGACCGCCCTGCTCACCATTTCCTATTTCCTCTCCAATTTGACAGAGACACGCACACCAAGCTACTAAAACAAACTTCAGCTTGCATTAATTTAGATAAATTTTTTAAGATAAATTTCATTTAGATAAGCGCATAATTATTCAATGCCTCTTTAGCAGCCTTTACACTGTGCATATTTATAGGAATTTCATTAGCTGAAGGTATTTGCAATATTTTCATAGGTGTTGCTTTGGCAAACAAGATGTTTTTCCAAAGCTCTTGGCAAGTATCTGTGTTAGTTAATAAGGCAGATATTGAGATTAGAATATTCCAGATTCCAAGGTTGTGGATTTAGACCAGCCAAGAGCACTGGCTGTAGAGTAAATAATGTAACTTTGCGGGTTTAGTCCATAGCTCCATATGTCTGTTTGTGTGTGTGTGTTTGCATGTATTTACTTAAGCAGTCAAGGTCTATTGTTTTAAGCAGGAGGCGTGAAAAAGAAAACTGTTCTGCTGAAGACCACCACGCTCGTAAAGGGGAACACTGTGGGTAAATTCATCCCTACCTGCTGAAAAGCCCCTTTTGAATGTTGTTTGGATGTTGGCCAGTTTGGTCTGCGGGATTGTAGGAGAGTACATCATGGGTGACCTGAACTCAGATGAAATGTTTTTGATTTTCCCACTTTGAAGACAAATTATGTTCCTAATTAGATGCATTCCTTGAAAACAGCTGCATTGGGAAATACGCAGCCAGCAGTCTAATACAGAAGTAAATAATTCCTTCTTGAAGGTTGTAATAATGGTCCGTTTTTGGTGAGGT